ATGACTAACCCTCCTCCTTTATCCGGTTTTTGGTATCGGCAATAACTTCAGAAAGGCTCCAAACGGAGGACGAGTAAGAAATAATGTAAAAAACACAACGACTGATTCAAAACCTGGCCCTTTAAAATTTTTTACTCTCCTGCTGAAAAGTTATGCAGTAAAATAAATTAGAACTTATATTGCGGTGCGCGCTACTTATAAGTAGTATATGACGCGAGTGTAAACGTAATGTCTGGCAGCAGAAGATAAAGGGAAGATCAAGAAAGGAAGAGTGGGAACACAATGGAATTTGTATGAAACACATGAATAAGTGAAATGTCAGATAATGGATTGATGATTGATTGGATTGAAGATTTGCAAATCAACCGTTTACGATATGGTTTTCCTAATTTACTGAGTAACTCTGTAATTTGCGATAAATACAATTCGGTTGCCCGCATCTGTGTTCTCCTTCACTACAATATGATTAAGATTAGACTGTTGATAGTTTTTTTTTCAAATGAACTTAAATTCTTATTTCTTTCAAGACTAATTACTTTTAATCCCTTTTAGTATAAGATTGATAACAAACAAATCAGACATATTCACTGTTTCCTGTCTTCTTACAATTTTACAATCAACTAATTATCTATGATCACTTCTACAAGTATAATACAATTAATATGCACACACTCACACAAACAAACGGTAATATTAAATTACAAAATGTGATACAGTCAATTTCGAATAGTTTTATTTATTTTTTTTATACTATTTATAATTAATAAGTAGAATAATTTAATCGAAACAAAAAAAATACACATGGTCATTTTCATGTAAGATAATTTCAAAAAGGTAAGTGGATGTAAATTGTGGATTTCAGTTTCATTAAGCGGTATTGTCAAGTTGAGAAGATGTACTTACAATTTTAAATTAACTAATGATTTCTGTAGAATTCACACTTTTAGCAGTAAACATCACTCTTTGATACGTAGGCACTTAGCTTTTAGATACTGAAATTATCATGTGCTCACAATAGTGACTAGCTTCGTGAGAAAATTCTCGGATTTCTAGTGAGAAGATGTGATCGATGCAGTTCAACTCCTGTTCAAGTAGATGGTAGACATGAACACTATTGGATGCCGGCTTAGTGGTTTAGAGTTTAGTTGTCCGCACACGAAACCGCAGGTCTTCTGTTTGATTCCTGCAGTAGCGACGGTTTTAGATGAGCGCTGCTGATGAGTCTCATACCAGGACGAAGCAGCCGTCTAAACAATGCTTCTGGATTTCTAATACTGGTATATCATTGATCGATTCATGATTTCAAAGCTTGACAATGAGTTTCCAACAAAAACTGACTATACATTGGATGTTAGTTGTTTGATACGTCCACAATAGTACATACTTGATAACTTATCAATATGGTTTGGTTAAATTTAGTAAATCTAGTCATTTGACTAATCTCTATTTTTAACACTTCAGTCAATCAATCAATCAAATTAATTATTTCACCTTTCTCTGCTTGAATGATTCTTCTGCAGTGAATTATGTCTAATGTGTAAGCTAATATGTGATACAGAGAGACTGTCTGAGTATATATATATATATATATATATATATATATATATATTAGATTACATTATATAAACAAAATGAATTTATTTGTTGATTTGTTTCACATGAATTGAACATTGATCAAAGTTTCCACATGGATAAACATTTCCACTGATGACAGTTTTTTCTTACATAATTATAAACTACTTATAATAATGTTAGTAGAATAATGTATGTATAAATTTAAACAACTACAAATTATTTTTAGCTTTCTAGAGAAAAAATTAGACTAAATCATTCAGTGTTCAATAATGCAATCCTAACAAAATTCATGGTGGGTGTTTTTTGAATTTGTTTAACTTCACTCATATATATGGTGATAAATGTAGCAAGAGGTTACAACAATTGATGATTGGTTGTTCTCTCTACAGTATAATTAAATTTCAAATGACCATATTGTGATAAAAATAGCTGAGATGAATGGAGAGTAAAAAAAAACGGAAATGACAAATTTGATTTTTTCTAAATTATCTAGAAACTTACAATTCTAATTGAAAAAAAAATCATATACACATCAACTTTGTGATCATGTAGTGAGAAAAAACTTTGACGTTATATGAATAATTATTCTCGAAAGTTATGAATCAATCAATGATTGTTAGACTAGCATTGTATAGACGACTTTTTCGTCCTGGTTTGGGATTCATCAGTTAGTGTGTTGGTCTAAAATTGATTTATTAATGACACTGTGGTGTGTGCTACTTATACGAACGATATAAGCAGTAGTATAAGAAGTGACGTGAAAGAAGAACTGTCACGGTCAAAAGAGGAAAACGGAAAGTAAATGGAACAAAAGCAAGAAGTAAATGGAGGAGTATCAACAGGAAGAGGGAAAGGAAGCAACAACAGGAATGGAAGAAGGATGGAGCGTTGGAGTCATGACTCAAAGATGATGTGCAAATAGAGTGTATTCAATGTAATGTTTTCGTTTTTAATTGACTAAGAGTGTAAATTTGCACTAACCGATCTTCCTCGCCTGCCTCAGTCTTCTAAATTGGTGGCGCTGCCAGGACACAGGATGAAGATCCCATGGCCTCGGGAGTTTGAATACGAAAACATTACTACATTGAACACTCTATTTGCACACCATCTTTGAGTCGTGACTTCCAACGCTCCATCCTTCTTCCATTCCTGTTGTTGTTGCTTCCTTTCCTTCTTCCTGTTGGTACTACTCCATTTACTTCTTGCTTTTGCTCCATTTGCTTTCCGTTTTCCTCTTCTGACCGTGAGAGTTCTTCTTTCATGTCCCTTCTTATACTACTTATATCGTTCGTATAAGTAGCACACACCACAACACTATCATGAAAGATTATATAATTATGTCTATATATTATTATGTTTATATATATTAATCAAAAGATATTATACTACTGATATTGAATAACTAAGTAGTGAAATAACATATTTCTTGATTTATCTATTTAGCCGGTGTGATCGTAAACACAGTGATTTCATTAAAGTTGGTTAACTGAGAAATTAAATCTCAGACTCATTAGTTCAGTTTATTTGTATTCTTGTATGAATGAATATGGACCATTGGACAATAAGGTGTTATCCAGTGTTCTGTTGAATTCAGATGATCACTACAATGAAATAAGTGTGTTGAGTTTCACTCCTAGCCAATGAATAACTCGAAGAGAACTTGTGATTGAATAGTAACCTTAAGGCATATATGTCAATTGAAACAGATTCCTATGTTGGGAAACAAACAAACTGGTTGATTAAGCTGTATTTGATCTCATGTGATCGGGATATAAATCATAGGTTTAGGATTTGATCATTTCTCTGCCCTTTCTTAGTTTGATTATCGATTGATTCACCTGGATTGTGTTAGGATATTTATCCAATATCCTAAGAGAATTACTGGTCAATTCCTGTTGGTTAATTCCTACTGGTCAATTTTATGGTCGTCCTAGATATCAATGTCACGTGCTCCAATGTTGTTTCTTATTGGTTGTCCTGACTATCAATGTCACTTCAAATGTTGCTTCCTATCGGTCGTCTTAACTGTCAATGTCACAGACTTCGATGCTGTATATGTATAAATACGCATTATTTGTAACGTTTTATGACCACGACCCGGACAAGGGCTCGGTCCCGGATCCCTAGTCCGGGATCTTGATTCTCTTCTGGATTCGGACCTCGTACTTTCTGGATGCTTGTAGAATACATGTTCTGCTCCATATCACGTCTTCTTATTTTTGCTAAATATGGGGGTTGGAATAATCGGATTAGAGTAGCATGTCCTGTCACCGGATCCTCTATCCTCTCTCTCGTTTTCCCTTCTACGTAAACTCGTGATAGTTCAAGTATATCAAGTTGACGTGTGTACGTGCAGGCGTAACAGATTGCTAGTAGGAACCACCATTAGAAACCTGGAAGTACTAGACAGCTGTTTCATATAAGAATGGGACTCATCAGTAGCAGTACGAATTTATGAGCCTCGCCTGCGAGAATCAAACTCAGGAATCTCGGTCCCACATGTGGACCCTTTAACCTCTAATCAATCTAAGGATTTTGGGCAACCTCACTCATTTTCTTCGGTAGTTACTGGCTACACCTGAACTCCGTCGATCCGTTTTATTGGCTCGTGTTAAATCCGAAGTAGGGCTCATCAATTTAGTGGCCCGCATGATTTAACTCCAGTTGGATGAATTACTGAGTATACGATGAAATTTCCGTATATAGAATACTTAGACAAACCTTGATCATGCGACAGCGGTAGTAAAAAGCCATATACGGCGATGTGTGTGTTCATCTAAGCAGACAGACATGAGAATGAAAAGCGTACAATAAAAGCAAAGCAATGCGGTGAAGGTGAGTGAGCCAAATGTCCTACACTGAAGCAGTGACTAAGTATTTATAGTCAGATATGTAATAAGTGCTACTGTTGGGGATGTTAGATCCCCAGAACTCGCTTGATATAAATATCTTTATTTTGGATTTATTTGATGGACCGATCAGTTGACCTTGAGATCACATTTCACACCAGGAGACTTCCTGACTGTGATTGGTTACTGTGTCATTTCAGTGTGCTATTTTTGTGACTCTCCCAAGAACATCTCTATGGCAAGTATAAATAAACGCAATTTGAGTGCTTGGATTGATTGTGTGCTGGTTGAGTGTTTGTAGAATAAACACTTTCTACACTATATCACGACTTCTTGCTGACACTATTGGGACAATCAGATCACAGTAGCCTACCGGGACGCTAGTTCATGGTCTCGTTCTCGTTTTTATCGACTAAGATGAACCTGTAATAGTTTTAAGCATACTTAGTGATGAGCATAACAGCTACAACGCCTTCTCACTAATTTTAATAGAAATAGAAATGTCAACACTTATTTTTAAGATTAAAAAACATATTTTTCACTGTTATTTTCTTTTCTTCTCCTTGTTTTTATCAGTTGAACTCGTTCAATCGATACTCATTGTAAAGAAAAAAATAATTAGGAAGAACAACTAACAGGAAATAAAAATCAATACAAACCAATGTCAATTTTGTTGAAAACAATTAGTCTCCTCATCTTCGGCTCGATTTCATTATCCATTCAAGTTGATATTGGTAAGTTTTAATTCATTTCAAAACTATTGATGTACAAAGATTACACATTTGAAATCATGAATCGATCAGTGTTAGGTGAGCATTAGTAACCTGGAAGCAGTGGACGGCCGTCTTGTCCTGGTATGGGACTCATCGCGTACAAGACCGAAGCTCCTGGGTTCGAATCCTGTGAGATGAAGTAGTCGTGGATGCACACTGCCAATGATGAGTCTCATACACTAGGATGAAACGGCTGTCCAGTGCTTGCAGGTTTCTAATGGTGGTCTACTATTGATCGTTTCATGATTTTTAAAAAATGAATATTTAACAGATATTTTGCCTAGACTCATTTACACTACAGAATTGATTTTGATTAGAGATCATGAGTGCAAAAACCAAGGAAGGAGAATAGTTAGTAATGCATATCCATGACCCAGTCATTGATCAAGGTCGGTGGTGCCTAATCTTTAGTCTATGGAGCTAACATAGATTACTTTTTATTTGTAACTTCAATCAATATGAAATATTGCGTAATTGTCATTGTTGAGCTTCACTAGCCAGATGATTTTTCATTAAGTTACCATATTCTCTTGCTTGCATGGAAATATCATTGTTGAGCAGTCATTAAATGTTCATTGCTCATCCGAGCCAGTCATAGTTAACCTCCACTTTCACAGATTAGCAGTATCGCTTCAATCATATGTGTACGATGTACTTGTGGTAGTGTTTCATTCTCTGAGCTGGAATTTTTTACTTGTGGGGCTTTCATTGTTCTTCTGTACAACATGATCAGCACATACGTCAGGTAAAAGTGAAATATTTCAATTTCTACACGTACGACTCGTAGCTTGTTTTATTAACCTTGACTTCAAACCTGTCGTTGTCTGCACCTTTATTTTCATTGCAACCCCCCTTTTTTTGATCTGTTTCTTGATCCTATGTTCATCTATGATTTTTTTGTGATCAGTTGATAAATTGGGTCAATGTCGATGTGTCTGTTGATTGCTGATCGACCCGAGTACCAAGCTTCTCTAGTGTTCTCTGTGCCCCACCACCTATACAGTATTTCCACATTGTTCCAATCAAACGTATGTCCATCGTTGTCCGTATGTATTGATATAAGGGAAGAAATGTCGTGTCGTTTGACTGTTAAATGATGTTCACGTAAACGAAGCTGAAGAGGCCATCCACTTTATCCTATGTAGTGTTTTTCACAGTTTGAGCAATTTATTTTGTAGATGGGATATTTGGTTTTTCTTCCTTTGTCATTTTATCCTTTGGTGTCTACATAAGATTGATTGAAGTGATTCTGTTGATTTGTGTGCCACACCTTTTCCAAATGGTCTCAGTAGTCGTACTGTAAGTGCCAATACGTCTTCTGTATACGGTAGAATGATCCGTTTGTAGGCTCCTGTACCTGATTCCGCTTCCAATGATGGTTTAAGTTTGTATTCCTTGATGTTGTGTAGATAGCCGAAGATGGTCACCAGATATTTTTCTTAGTTTTCTGTGCTTTATGTGTACTGCATAGTGTTTTCACTCTATTGAATGAAGTTTGTAAACGGGTGATTTTGTGAATTCTTGGCTTGCTACTAATGTAGTTGAGATGGGTTGACTTTTGATAAACTTAGGACTCTAGTTTTCCTGCGTCAGTTCCTGTGATGAATACACTCAAGAGTGATAATTCATCATTTCATTCCATTTCAAATTATGAATTTTGCGTCATCAGATACGTTGTTGAATAGATATTCATATCGATCTCCATAATCTCGACGAGCTATGTAGAGATAGGCTGGAATAAAGTTAGGGGCCGCCAGAACAAAACATGGCAGAAATCCATGAAGTCACTGACAAGTGGACTGAGTCATGTCGGTAATTGTCGACTACCTGGTTGGGGTCCGCGAGATGATAATAATCGATGGTTAGAGACTCTGAATGATATGGCTCAAAACCGTTTGCAATGGCGCCGGTCCATTTATTCTCAGTGTCCTCTCAAATCCTAATCTTCTGGATTCTCCAACCCCTCTAGTTTTGACTTTCTAAACTTTTCTCAATTAATCATACTTCTTGAATATTATCTTCTAATCCTAACCTCTCCGATTACTTCAAACACCCTTTACTACCTCTACTACAATTGGATTTGAATTGACAATTATGTCTCTGTGCTAATGTGGTATGGCAACATGAACTGATGTATTTACGTACGAAGTTCTACGTTGTATCTGACTGACTGACTGACTGTATTGTGTTTGTGCGATGACATTAATTAAAAGCCAAATATAGATTTGCTTGGATGAGTTTATTTCAAACAATCGTTCATACATTCATTTAAACAAACAGTCATAAGAATAAACTGAGTCCAAGCGGAGCGAGGCAAAATAGAGTTAGCTTGCTCACCTTCCCCACTTCATGTTCCTCAGAGTCGGGACACCCGAATCATTATAGTAAGGCACTCCTACAAAACACCCAGTTTCATTTATATACTATTAGCCTTTGTCGATGTAAAAAAAATTTTTCAAAACAAATTCTTCTTTCAGGACATACATGGAACAATCAATGGGAACTAAATCCTGATGTAAGAAAACACCAATCAGAACATCAAGGTCACATTGTTCGTGTCGGCTCAGACAATACTGTAAACGATGATCTAGATGATGACGATGATGATGATGACATTTTGTCTTTATTCAATTTCAATCAACAACCATCTTATTATTCAACTAAAGTATTTCCAAGTACAACATGGGATTTACCGATTGATTCAGATGAAGACACAGATCGCTTACAAGAATCCACTTCCACTAGTTCATCGCGTACAGATGAAGACTTGCCAGATAGCATGGAATATTTAAATCCATATCTGTTAAATTTAATTTATTATAGTAATCCATTGAAAAAGAAACGTGATCAAACTACTACTACTACTACTACTCAGTCAACTGATGATAGTAGTATGATTGTAAAAAAAATGCCAGAAACTGAAAAATGGTCTACACCAATTCAACCGGGCAATTCAAATGATTTACGTAAATTACGTAATCTAGATACATTCAATATGAAACAATAATGGAAGTATTAAGATGATGTGCAATGATCTGATGGTGAGTGAGTGAACAATCATTATTTATAATTGATTTGCTTGTCTTCTCATGAATTAGGTGAATTAAAATAGGGAGGGGGGAATAAATTGTTAGGCCCCAATTAGAAACCTGGTAGCACTGGATGGCCGTTTCGTCCTAGTGTATGGGACTGATCAGTTGTGCGCATCCATGACTCCTGCACCCCGCAGGATTCGAACCTAGGACCCTTAGTCTTGCGCGTGAACACATCCAACGGTGTTCATGTCTAACTCTGGTCATTCTAGAGATTTCTGCGCGACCTCACCGCTTTGTCTTTGGTAGTTACTGCCTACAGCCGACAAGGTTGAACTCCAACGGTCACGTGATCACGTCCCATACCAGGAAGAAACAGCTATCCAGTGCTTCCAGGTTTCTAATAGTGGTCTAACAATGACTGACTGATGATGCCAATGTGCATAAAATGTATTAATTTGAAAGGTGTCCTTCCTTAAATTCCTTCCATTAATGTTGTACTGTAAGCTAATGACAGTTATTCATGGTCTTTACAGGCCAATAGTGAAAACCAAAATAATATTTTGGTTTTATTTGGGACACGTCAGCTATAAATGCCTGTATCCTATGGTTGATGTAGACATTGAGACTCGATCTGTTATGCTCTTCAATTGATATGCTGGAAACTATTAGTCGATAAACAGGAGCGAAGACAAATGATTCAGTGACACAATAGGCTACTCTAATCTGAGTGTACAAAGGCACCATAAATTAGAGGAAGAAGTCTTGACATGACGTAAAAAGTGTGTTCTACAAGCACCCAGAAAATACGAGGTTGATATGCACACAAATCGAGTTTATTTATACAATGATAGCAACGTCCTTGGTGAGAGCCACAAAAATAACATACTAAAATAATACATCAACTAATAACAGTCAAGGATTTTCCTGGTGAGAAATGTAATCTCAAGGTCAACTGATCAGCCCATCCACGAAACCACAAAATCCTAATTAAGAACCTTCATCCTACTTACTTACATATTGAAATCATCAATAAATCATTATCTCAAAATCCCATCAGTGGGTAGCTCCCACCTCGTCGAGCTATGCTTTGAGATGTAGGAATATGTTGGAAGAAAGCTAGGGGCGGCCAGACCAAAACATGGCACAAATCCATCAAGTCACTGACTACTGGATTGAGTCATGTCTGTAGGTGTGGACTATCTGGTTGGGACCCGCAAGATGATAGTAATCGATGGTTAGAGACCCTGAATGACATGGTTCCAAACTGTTAGCAATGGTACAGGTGCATTAACTCTTTGTGCTCTCTCAAATCGTAACCTTTTGAATTCCTTTTTCAAGTTTATTTCACTAGATTCTACTTCTTGAATAATATCGTCGAACCCTTACATTTCCCATTACTTTTACTACTATGGGATTCGAATTAACAATTGCATCTTTGTGCTAATGTGGTATGGTAACTTGAAATGATGTACTTAAATACAAAGTTCCACGTTGTTGTTGTCTAACTGACTGACTGAAACTAACTAACGTTATTGATTGATAAAAGCCATCTTCAAAAAAGAAACAGAACTGAATTCTATGACTAAATTATGAAAACTTGTTGAATTATACATTCTGAATTAACACTGTTCAATATTTCATTGAATATAGAAGTTCAATATGGAAGTTGATATTACTTACTTACTTACGCCTGTTACCCCCAATAGAGGAGCATAGGCCGCCCATCAGTTTCCTCCAACCAACTCTGTCCTGGGCACCCCTCTCCAGTTCTGTCCAATAACTGTTCATTCTTCTCATATCTTTCTCTATTTCTCGGCGTAATTTGTTCCTTGGCCTTCCTCTTTTCTTTTTGCCTTGAGGGTTCCATGTGAGGGCTTGTCTCGTGATGCAGTTAGGTGCTTTTCGTAGTGTGTTGATATATTTTATTATTATCAATACTAAGCTTTGTAAACAAAAGTACAGGTATTTACAAGACCATAGATGACCTTGAGATTCGATAAACCTTTGCAGTGTGCTTTTGATTTATCACAGTGGATTAGTACTCATTGAGTCGTTACGTGTCGTAACAATTAGGCAATGCCATGAAAAAGCATAATCCATATTGCGCAACCGGAAGGGAAATAATTGTAATTATCAAAATAATTGTTCAAAAAAATCGATAATGTAACATAAAAACTTTCTGGCTGCATTTTACAACTAATTACTTTAACTATTATAATCATTTCTCTTCTAATTGCGTAATATAAATTATTAACCCTTATATATACTACATAGTTATGACATTACGTAACTCCTACCCGATAAGTACAAAGTTCTGATAAGAAAAAAGCTATCTGTTCGTGAATTCAGACATAAAGCTGTTAGGGACGTTAGATCCACAGAACTCACTTGAAAAAAGTCCTAACTTTGGATTTTATGTTTTCGAGAATGGACTAATCAATTGACCTTGAGATAACATTTCCCTCCCGGAAATCCTTGACTGTTATTGCCTGATGTAGTATTTTAGTACGCTAATTTTGTGGCTCTCCCAAGGACGATTCTATCATTTTTGAAACCATGAATCGATCAATCTTAGACCACCATTAAAAACCTGGAAGCACTGGAAGGCCGTTTCGTCCTAGTATGGGACTCCTCAGCATGGTTTCAAAAATGTGTAACTTAACAATCTTCACAACCCCCTGTAATACAAATTACCTGTGCTCACTAGTGATTAGCTTGGTGAGGAATCTTCTCCGAGTTCTAGTGGTGGGAAGACGTGACCAGTGAAGTTCAACCTGTTTTCGGGTGTAGACAGTAACTACTACCGAAGACTGTGTATGAGGTTGCGCGACTGCGTGAATTTAATCAAGTTAGACATTAACACCGTTAGATACCGGCTCAGTGGTCCGATGGTTAGAGCGTTAGCGCACAAGGCCGAAGGTCCTGGGTTCGAATCCTGCGAGGTGAAGGAGTTGTGGATGCGCAATGCTCAGGAGTCCCATATCAGGACGAAACGACCGTCCAGTGCTTCCAGGTTTCTAATGGTTGTCTAACATTGATCGATTCATGGTTTCAAAAAATGTGTAACTTATCATGCTTCACAACCCCGTAATGCAGATTCTATCATTGTATAAATAAACTCGATTTATGTGCTTGTCAACCTCATATTTTCTGAGTGCTTGTAGAATACACTTTCTACGTCTTGTCAAGACATCTTCCTCTACTTAGTGGGGTATTGGTACACTCGGATTCGAGTAGCCTATTTTTGTCACTGGATCATTTGTCTTCGCTTTCGTTTACTGACTAAGGTGAACTCGTAATAGCAGTTTCAAGCATATTAATTGACAAGCATAACAAAAATAGAACTTACAAGAAACGTGCTGGAAAAATTTTCTGTCGAAATTATCCCGAAATGAATATATCACTGGTCAAATTATGATTCTCGTCTTTTTCTTATTTTCTGTCTCTATTTTTTCAGGTTGACATTTTCATTCATTCATTCATACAAACACACACACCAACACAAGTGTCACTACATGTGTACACGTCTACTTTTTATACGATGGAGTACCTATTATTAACAAAATCAATCAATACTTATACAAAGAGACACAGACAAAGTGATCAGAACCCAACTGTAATATATATACATCACTCACTCAATCAGTATTCATCATAATTAATTACAAATGAACTTCTCTCATTGTTAACTCATTTCAATGAATAAAAAACAAACGCTTCTTCTTACGTTAATTTCATAAACTGTTTTTATTTACTATGTTCAATGTTCATGTGAAAAGTGCATTTTTATTGATGTAATGCTTTCTTGATTGTGTATCATTATTGTATGTCTGTTTGTGTGTGTCTATGTGTGTTCAATTCTCTAATCAGTCAATAATTTATTTAAAACAATTAATTCATTATTCAACTTGATTTGTTTTGTTTTTTTTCAATTTGAAAATTGAACGAAAATTTAAACAAAAACAAATGTTTGCGGAACTTTTAAACGTTCTGTTTATTTCTTATGTGTTCAAAATATGTAATCACAAAAATGTGCATCTTGAGAAGAGAAATACATTGAAAAAAAATCAATAAAAGTTGAAAATAGTTGTTCTATGCTTTCTAATATATCAGTTCTATGTTTCGTCATTTGGGATGATGATAATTTTTAATTTTGTAAATAACATTTTTAGTGGTGATCGAGTTGAGATTGACTATGATTATTACTAACTACTAGTGTAGTGAAGGAGAACACAGGTGAGGGCAACCGAATTGTATTTATCGAAAATTACAGAGTTATTCAGTAAAATAGGAAAACCATATCGCGTAAACCGTTAATTTGCAAATCTTCAATCCATCATCAATCCATTGTCTGACATTTCACTCACTATTCATTCTATTTCATAAAAAATTCCATTGTGTTCCCCACTCTTCCTTTCTTGATCTTCCCCCATCTTCTGCTGCCAGACTTTACGTTTTCACTCGCCTCATATACTACTTATAAGTAGCGCGCACCACACTAGTAACGAACCCGTCACTGAGTTGATAAATAAATCCAGATTAAGGAATTTATTTACTGGCGATTTCGTGGTGTCGAAAGTACACCGAAATCAAACCATAAAAGATGAATGAAATTACAGAGCTGGTAAAGCAAAGAATGGCAGCAATACAAACAGAAAGTTGCGCGTAACGAGTGTTATAAACAAAGAGGTTCAGTTAAACAATCACTGGTACAGTTGGTTATAATAATGAATGTTTCTATTAAACTAATTGCGGTGAATTAAAGATTTTACAGTTTCAAGAAATTTCACTGTACTAATAATCATCTAACTGGTGATGAGCTTAAATATACAACTCTCGGAGTTCTAGCAAGAAGTTGTGACCAATGGAATTCGGTCTATGTCGAGAGTGAGATAGTTATCCGTCGTAGGCGCTAGATAAGGATCGATTAATAGTGTGAAATGAATCAGGTTAGACAAATGACACCTGTTCAGTGGTTTGTAGGTTAAGCGAAAACCAAAGTTCTGGGTTACATCACTGGCCTTTGATTGTGAAATGTCACTGATGAGAAGTTCCATACCAGGACAGATTGGCCATACAGGTTTAATGATGGTCTAACTTAGATCATTTTGTAACTTAAACAATGGAAATTAAAGAACAATTAAAAGGTAAGAATCTCACGATTTTACATAAGGTTGAACAACTCGAGACGCTCACCATTTTGTGTCAACCACAATATTATTTCAACTTCACTTAAAATAGCACGTAGTTCAGCCAAATAGTGTCATTCAGACTAGATTGTGTCACTAAATTTAATGGTCCCAATAGATGCATTGTATTCTAAGTTGAGGTTCATCAATTTATGTGGGCTGCGTTATGTTCGTCGTCGGGTTCACCAATGTAGTGGTTGCGTCGAACTCGAAGTAGAGTTCACTAGTTTAGGGCCCATGAGCTGGCTTCCTTATTTTGTGACGTTCGAATATGTTGTGAAATACACCTCCCATTTAGTCTTCGTATATCATACTTATGAGAACATAGTTTGTGTGACCGGCTGTAATTAAAAGCCCAAATACGAATTCGATTGGAGGAGTTTGTTTTAAGCGATCATTCATTCAAATAGACAGGAGAACACACAATGAAACGTAATGGAGAACGCTGGCTAGCGAACTCAATGTAATGAGGCATAAATAAACATTTATAGTCAGGCAAAATAGACTAGACATCTAATAAGCGAAGTAAGTAATGCACACTGTATAAACTCGAATAAAACAACACAAATATGAACCAATCATATGCAAGGTCAAAAGTTATCTGAATGGTTAATGAGTTTGTGCGGAAGCTAGGATAAGCCCTATAGGCTTGACATGTTGGCACAGACACACTACAGTCCATTAATGAGTAATTAAGTGTATGATAATCGAACCAGTGAACGACACTCAGTTCAATAAGAAGTAACTTCTATTAAAAATCTGAAATTTTGACGACTATTGGTCGAAGAAACCTCTACCATCAACAACCAATCCAAATATAAGAACAGTCAACTGATTTGATTTATATTGTTTGAATATTATTAGAATTCGGAAAACTCACATGGTCATATTGTAGTGAAGGAGAACACAGGTGGGTCAAC